TAATTCTGTAGGGGGGGGGGAGGAGCATAACTATTACAATATTTACATACAAAACTATTAAAATTGATCTAAAAATTCATATGTTGTTTAAAAATGTTCCACCTTTTGATGATATAAATTGAAACAGTAATTCAAACACTTACAGTTTTTTTTCAGGCTAATTTAACTATCGTCTGTCGCCTTTACGTTACGCTAAATACTCGTACTACAATTGCACCAGAACTATCCGTACAACTTTATACAGCTAAGAATTTTTACTTTTGGGACAAGTTTTTATCGACAGGCCTGTTGGTCTAGTGGTTAGTGACCCTGACCGCTAAACCGGAGGTCGTGGGTTCGATTCCCACCCAGGACAAATATTGTGTGATGAGCACGGTCATTTGTTCTGTGTCTGGGTGTAATTTATCTATAATATGTATGTATTCAGAAATATATAAGTATGTTTATCAGCAGTCTGGTTACCATAGTACAGGCTCTGCCTAGTTTGGGATCAGACGGCCGTGTGTGAGTTGTCTAAAAAAGAAAAAAAAGAAAAAAAAAATGCTGTAATTCCATTTTTTAATCGCATACTGATAAACTGAAAAACATTTCTTATTTGTCAATCCCTTTTTGTACACCTGCCTTATCAGTACCAACACCTTATCCATTTAATATACCTTAATTAAAGCATAAGTATATTTTATGATCATTTTATTCCAGTCTCCGTAAACCCGCAACAAAAAGCATATACCCAACACCTCGACCTCTATAATGATGATCTCCTCGCATACCCAATAAAATCAATAATACGATACATAAACACTGATAATTTGCCACTCGATAAACCAAACTTTATTACGGTTACATTTTATGTCCGAATGTCATAAAAAATACATTATTTTTATCTATACTTCGCTATTGATATAAGGCGTAGTGCTTGGCGGCTGGTCTAATGGAGAATCTCTTACAAAGGAACTAACAGCACACATAAGTTTAAAATCAAATTGCGATCAATCGTCTGATGGTTAGTGGCCCTGATTGCTAAGCCCCAGGACAGGTAATTGTGTATGAGCACGATCATTTGTTTTGTGTCTGGGTGTAATTTATCTATAATTATGTATTCAGAAATATCTAAGTATGTTTGTAAGCAGTCTGGTTACAGCATTTGCCTAGTTTGGGACCAGACGGCCGTGTGTGAAATGTGTAAAGTCATTTAAATTCCGACCATCTTTATTTTAAAAATGATATAATATAAATTATTTAATATACTAAATCCCCAAGACAGGGACCAGAGGGTCAGTATATGTATGTCTTGCGAGGACTAATGGGGCCGTATATTGGGCCCGTGGTAATCTCTTCACCAATCGCAACACCGAACGCGATCACGGTCGAGTTGATGATGATGATGATGATTGATGTGAAATAACCTCACGCTAGACGTTCAGATGTTTAGAATACTGAAGAAGGACCCCGTTAAAAGCACCTGTAATCGTTGAGAGTATAGGAAATGTTTGATGAATGCGAAAGAAGCACGAACTGTGTATCAGGCTAACGGCAAATGGCGTCATATCCTCTCTACCTACCTAACTCTTTCAAGAATTAAGTGTGCGTGTATGAATGTACATAACCCTCCAATATGTATGTACATAAATTAACCTTTAATGTAATTCGTAATTCAACATGCGAGCTACGTAACCTTAAAATGTGTTCCTTGGTTTTTCTTTAGACTTTTGCATCAAACAGATATAATAATAATACTAGCTTTTACCCGTGACAGTTTAAAATTGAAATACCATAAGAGCTCATGGAAAAAACCTCGACCGAAGTGATACCACGGTCTCAGAGAAACCAGTGCTTAGTAATTATTTTGTTGTTTTACACCAAGTGAGTAAGATTACCTATAGAAAGTACATTGAAGTGTTAATATCAAACTATCGTGTATTGTAAACGACACCACTGAACGTGTGGTTCAGTGGTGTCGTTTAGTTGTCAGGGGTGTCCTCTATTTTTTATTTTTGTTAAGGACACCATCGTAATGTAGTTCTAACACAAAACTTATGCATTTGTTTTTTAACTTGATTTTCACCGCCGCCAAGCATTATATTTGACAACGTTACTGTAAAAAATAAAACCTCAGTGTGTTACCTAGGATTCGTTTTAGAAAGAAACTTTTCATTTATCGAACATATTAAAATAGTTAATGAAAAGTCTAAAAAGAGTTTATGTGCATTGACAAGGATATCAACTGCGACATGGGGTCTACCATTTAATACATTAAAGATCATATACGGAGCTACTTATTTAGGTTCTATGTGCTATTGTGCACCTGTATGGGCCGATATGGCGACCGTAGGCGCTGTCCGTCGCAAGCTGTTACAAGGCCAACGACTTGCACTGATATTCTTGTGCAAGGCATATAGGACGGTTAGCACTGAGGCTTTGCTGGTGTTGGCGGGTGTGCTTCCGGTCGATCTCGAGGTGCAGAGACGTGCAGCCATGTACTATTCAAGACAACAAAACATGGAACGCAATTTTTTGGGCGCGCGGGATCGCGGTAAAATTACAAGATTGCTTCAACAGCAGTCTGATGTCTATAATGACCTCATAGACGAATGGCAACAACGCTGAAATGAATCATCCAAGGGTCGCCATCTTTACCAATTCTTTCCATCTGTTCGCGAACGGTTGTCAAAGACATGGCTTTAGAAGGATCACTGTGTCGCTCAATTTCTTACGTGTCATGGTAACTTTAAGAGCAAGCTTTATTCATTTAAATTAGTCGAGTCACCATTGTGACAATGCTCAACACCTAACTCTCACTATGAACAGTCTGCTCATCATATCCTCTGGGAATGTAGTCTTTGGTATAATGAACGTAATATAATGCTGAATAGCTTGCAGATGACATCTGGGGCGGTATACTATGGGGATCTTGTGTCAACTAGGGTGAATTTCCGTGCGTTTAGGCGATTCTGCCATACATATTATAGAAATCAAATATAGCTCACGTAGGACCCGTAATATTTTGTGGCCGTGGTGCTTCCCTGTTTAAAAGGGTGTATGCCCATTTAATTCATTTTGTCTCCCGCTTTGCTAAGGAGGGAAGTAGATTTACTGTATTTCCAACTCCTCCAATTTTCTTCTGATTAATTTCGTTGCGGGTTCCAAGACAGTTTAATTTCTTCCTGGGACTTCCCGAGTGTCATAACTCGGTGTGTTCGTGGGTCACTGCTGTGGATCCTGGTGTACAGGAGTTACAGTGGTGGGCGTGTGGGTGGGATTAGTCCCATCAATTGATTTTCATTCGTCAGATCATGACCATGACAATTTAAAAAAGCTTTAAAAAGTTGCTTTAAAGATAGCAGATGATGATGAAAGAAGAATCTTAAAGAAAGATCATGGTGATGATGATGATGATGATGATGATAATCCTCTTCTTGCTTACTTCATCTGCTATCTTTAAAGCAACTTTTTAATAATATCGGATTAAGTCTTATAAATTAATTTGGTTGCTTTTTATTGTAATGGATTAAATTGATATTTTTTACGAATCCCTGTGAAATCGATCAGTTTCAAAGTTATCATTAAAAAAATGACACATAACGGACTGTTTTATTTCACGTTATACATCAATAATCAGCAGTGATGTCGTTAACATAGGAGAAATGTAAACGACTGGGGGGTGTGGTTCAGTGGTGTCGTTTACAATACACGCAAATTATTACAACATCTATTTTCAGGAACATTCATTGTATTGTCTGGTTCATTATCAAGATGACTAGTGAAAGTTACATATATTACAAAAAAGATTCTGTAATCAAAACCAATAGATCTATCCTTCCTTAAGTTTTAAATAAAGAGGTTTCAATTGGGCCGAATGAAAATTCCTTTGCATTTTTACTTTAGAAATATTAATGTTGAAAACAAAATCCTGACAATGTGCCATAAATGAAAGGAAGGTAACCTGTAAAGGCATTACTTTTCTGTTATTATTATACCGTTTTGTTGATTATGTTAAACTCGGGTATGCGGAAAAGCACTGATTTATTGGAAGAATTATTGGGGCCACGTCTTTTGAAGTTTGATATCGGAACCGTTGATAAGTTAGGTTAGTGATTCTATGCGGATTGTGGTACAAAAAGTTTGTGAACTTTAGTTTACTAAATTGTTACGATAACTTACATTTGTGATATCTGACTATATGTAATACTTCACTCCACTCTTCGTTCCTAATCCAATCTGTTCTCTGGAACCCTCTCTGCTCTCTGGAAATCAAAATAGCATCCAGACGCCATTCGTTCAAGAAGAACGTTCGAGGTCGCATTTTAAATACCCTAGAAGACTGATCAGATTCATAATTCATTGTATATTATTTATACATGTTTGTAACCTAATAAGTATAAATGTGTACTCTAGTACGTATATATATGCTTGTATATGTATGCATGAATATTTGTAGCCTTGTTTTTTTTAAGAAAATCCTAATTCTTTTTCTTTCATTAGTTTCTAGTGCGCCTGGTTATACCATTTCTGGGCCGTAAGGTAGACTAGAAGACAATCCATGTTAAATCCGCTATTGTACAATTTATTTGTGCACAAAGAATTAAATTAATAAACAAAAAATATATATATAATATGAAAATAATAATAATGTTTATTTCATCTCCACAAATTACATCATGTTTTACAATATACAGTTGACAAGAAAGTTGTCAAGAAATTCGTAATTTGTGGGAGATCTGGAGTCTTGACTAAGCCGAGACGTGTACTAAAGGTCTTCAGGTCTCCCGTTGTGTAGATTGTCAACATGTCAGAAGCTTACATGAGTGTGTGAGAATGAGTAAACGGTAACAAGTATTAATTTGTTACCGTTTACAATAAATTCATGGGTGGCGTCACCCCCTATATCAAGAAACAGTTTATTATTGATTAGACCTAGTCATACACTCATAAATGTGCACTCGTGACTTTACAATTAAATTCAGAACCGCCATATTTATTGGATAATTTATTTCCAGAGGATGCGCAGACCTCGTCGACACAGATGGTTGACCGTATCAGTATTCTTCATCGCGTACTCCGTGTTCCAAGCTGTGTTCATGTCCTCCAATGCCTCGGAACCGATCGCCACTCCTGATGACGTGGCAGACAAGATAGATAAGACCCCCGTCGCAGATGAAATCACCAAGAGTCAGACCGGGAAAGGCAAAGGTATGTAAATATGACTGCACGTATGGCGTGTAGTTTAAACGGGGACCTGGCCGCTTTTTGCTGCACTGTGTGAGTTCAATCCCCACCTGGGACAACACTTTGTGTGTCCGTTTCATGTATGTTTGTAAAGTCCCCCGCTACACAGAATTGATTTCTTTTGCTGGAGTTGTCTTCTTAAAATTCAATAAATAAATTAAAATTATTACAGTAGAATTCTGCTTGGTTAGATTTTAGGCACCAGCTTTTTGGGACGGTTTCCTTCGTTCGTAGCTGTTCAGCTATATCACTGTTCAGTTTTCGAGGGTCCTAACGTGATATCTTCTTGAATATTTTAGTATTACGGGTAGTAAAAGCTTAAGAATACGGAGTGTCACATACCCTATTCATCCCGTAGGTGTTGTAAGAGCCGACTAAGGCAGCAAACTATGCAGGGTATCCACACTGCAAAGAGAAGGAAAACTTGAACGAACCCTTTTTTTTTTTTTTTTTTTTTTTTTACGTGTGGAAATCCCCTCGGACCGTCACCCCACCGGGGTTTGCGGCGGGGTGGTGTGTCGGACTCGAACCGACTAAAACCACACGGTGTGCCCTCTTTGCGCTTCCAGTTTAGGAGGGGTCCAGGTAGTTATCGCCTTCTGGACCCCTCCCAGCGCCGGCCCGCTCCTGGTGCGGGCTCCGTCTCCAATTATCCTCTCTTTAGACGACGTCCGGCACACGCGGACGCCGCCCCCTCGCGGCTGGCCAACTAATGCGGGTGGAGGGGAGAACCCATCCCGTCCACCCGCGGCCACACTCAGGGCGGCATGAGGCGCAGGTAAGCGCGCCTCCGCCGCCCGGTTCGCCGGCGGCGGATCAGGTCCGAGTGGAGGTCGTCCTCCCGGGCCTTCTCCGCCGCCTCCTTCTGCGAGATTACCTCCTCGCAGAAGGTTGCGACCGCGGTAAAACAACTGTCGCTACCGGCCATGGAGCGAATTACGGCCGGTAGCGAGAGATCTGCTCCGATGACTGCAGTGAGGGCCCGGCTCTGCGTCGCCTATGCGGGGCAGACCGCCAGCGTGTGCTGGGCCGAGTCCTCACTGCAGTCGCAGTGGTTTCAGGCGGGACTCAGTTCCCTCCCAGCGACCGAGTGCAGGTACTTTCCGAACCAACCGTGCCCGGAAAGCACCTGCGTCAGCCGGAAGGAAAGGGTCCCGTGCTGCCGCCCTGCCCACTCGGCTATGATCGGCTGGAGAGCCTCCACGGCGGCGAAGCCAGCGCGTGGAGTCTCCAGCCGGAACGACCATCTGACCATGGTGGCTCGGCGAGCGGCTTCGCGCCACTCGCGCACGTCTTCGGGCGGAGAGCGGATTTCGCCCTCCGGAAGTCAGCCACTCGCCGATAAACTTCGGCGAGCACCTCCGCCTCCAAATCCCACGGGGGTGTTCCGGCCAAGGCGCAAGCCGCCTCGGTGGACACCGTGCGGTATCCGCGTATGGCTCTGACCGCCAATATCCTCTGGCGGTGCCAGAGGCGCGCCCTATTCGGGGCGGTCAGAGCCGCCACCCACACCGGTGCACCATAAAGCGCCATGGACCGGACAACCCCCGCGTACAGCCGCCTCGTGGGAACACTGGCCCCGCCCAAATTGGGCAAAAGTCGCCCTAGGGCGGAGGCAGTGTCCACCAGCTTCGGACCAAGCTGTCGGAAGTGCTCGTCGAAGAGCCACCTACCGTCTAGGACCAGACCCAGGTACCTCATCTGGGCCCGGACCGGTACGAGGACCGAGCCGACCTCGATTGAGGCGCCAGCGGGTGGACCACGACGGGGCCCATGAAATAATAGGGCCCCCGTCTTATCCAGGGCCACCCGCAAACCCAACGCCTCAATGCGCCCGACCACCAGGGAAACTCCCGTGGCGGCCAGGCGCAACTTGAACGAACCATATACCAACCCATCTGGCCAGCGTGGTATAGTAGGCCAAACCCTCCTTTCTAAGGAGAGGCCTATGTCCAACACTGAACTATTTGTTGATGAGATATGATGATGATGATGGTGTATTGAATCGGATTGTACTTGGATTTGGCATTCGACATTCAATTATAAAATAATATAGATATGTATGTATTTAGAATTATATAAGTATGTTTATCAGCGGGCTGGTTACTAATGCTGTGAAGTTACTATAGTATTTTAATGAAACAAATACGGTTTTAGATGAAACTCCACTGCTAATTACCCCGCCTTCGGAAAATGAAGACAAAGGCCCAGCAGAAGGTGATAAGAAGAAACTTAAAGGTACACTGGAAGAGGATGAACCAGACAAGAAGACCTTGAAAGACGCTGGATATGTTGAGGTACTATGATAGTATTATTTATTATATTCCTGGAAAACGATACGAATATAACAACAGCAATCGTGCTTCCGCACAAATGGGCCGGCTCTACCGGAGTGATCACACAGCGTATTGATTTAAAGCATCATTTCCACTTGATAAATTATTATAAAGGGAATATTTACCATGTTTACTTTCAGGAATAATTATCCGATATTTCGGCATTGCTGCAAGCGAATTACGTACACTACAGCAACTAAATTTACTTAAAACAAATTGAAAGTAATCACAAACTAATTTAAATGAAACCTATTCGAAGTCAGAATATAGTATGCACATAAAATGATCTAAATCAATTATAACAAATTTGGCTTCGTCATCGCCTCGTAGTAGGCGTCGGCTCAGGAGTCCGCTGTTGTCGGCTAATATGCTACGTCGACAATACTCTCTTTGGTTCCTTACGTAACAAGCGCCATGATCACAGATGAACTGTTCCCGGATTCTTGAAAATAAACATTGTAAATATCCCTCTTATATATCCGCGGTATCACCGCAGCCGCACAGAAAAACTGGTGATAAATAATTATTTCGTTGCTTTGTACCGAAGGAATAAGTTTAACCATTTTTTTTTAATTTATGTATTTTACCTCATATATTCGTCAGTTATGAATCGATTGTTTTTTTTCATATGTGAGCGTATATTTCCCGTTTGGTCCTCTATTAATTTGTTACAATTCATCTTTATGTAGTCGCACTGAAGTTCATGATATTTCTTAAAAATGAATTCTTAATCATCATAAAAGACAGACTCATTGCATAACAAAAACCTTTTTATAAAAACTTAAACAGCTCGTGGCGAAGCCGAAAGAACATGAAAAGCTAAAAAGAAGATAAACTTGTTAGCCTAAATAAACTCCTACGCTAATGAACCTAAGCATTTAAAGAGTGGAGTGAACGTCAAACATACAGAGGAAAGAAAATTTCAAACATTTCCATACATTCTATTTTATTAAGTTATACTTAGATAAATCGGTCGCCGAACTTTTATAAATAGGCCGTTCTATAAATGATTTTAGAGTGTCTGGTAGTCGTTAAAAATAAACATCCATTCATGAGTAGGCTAAAATAGGCTTACTTTATATCCACGAAAATGAGACAACGCCTTTTAAGCACTTATAGTACTTAGATTTGGTATTCAGCATTCAATTTAAAAATAATAAAAAACAATCCGTTCAAAAGTTATGAGCGTTTCGATTTTCAGATATTATCAGCCCGATTTTCATAAAAGCAGATGAAACGTGTTATGTTAAATATTTTAAATCGAAGAGGTAATGTTTTTATTTTAAATTAATTCGATATTCAAAAAAAAATCAAAATTGTTTTCTATGAATTTTCACATAAATGTATTAAATGATTCCAAACTTAAAAATTTAGTTACGTTTAAATTGTTTAACTTTACACATTTTACGTGTTTATATGAGAGATAAGATGAGATAAGATAATTTGTAAAGATAAGATAAGACCAAATACGATTAATAATAATTAATTTGATGATAGATAGATAATTGACTTGTATTTCTATAACTCTAAGAAGGACATTGCATTAATTTAATATCCTAAATATATATTATTATTATTATTATTTAACTTTATAATGTTTCAGTGTCCATCCTGATTCTGATCTTGATAAACTACACTGTATAATTTTCCATGCCTTACGGTAGAAGCACTTGAAACCTGTAAATTTTTTAACACCATTGTAATAGTGTTTTCTGCAAAATAAATAATTTGAATTTGAATTTGAAGAGCGAAAATACTTGAAAATTAAAACGGTTATTTACTTAACCCGAATGACTATAAACATCATTTTTAGCACTTTAATATTTTCCTTCTATTTATTTTTATTATGTTTAGAATTTTTTATATTTAAATGCAGCGGTAAATGGGAGATAAAAGTTAATTTAACAATTTCTATTATTTAATATTTTGTGCGTTTGATTATGTTTGTAATATCTTAGATATTTACGGCAGCCTCGTACGACAGCGTAGGTCCTATCAACTAATTCAGGTATTTCACAGGAACAATACTCAGAGGAAGGAAGGTACTCTGTACCCCCTTTTCTACTCCTGATAACGTATGGGTTTCTTGATTGCATGTTAAACAGGACAATGAAACTGAACGCATAAGAGAACAAGAGAGAAAACTGTGGTCATCTATCCCGACCATCAGGCCTCTGCGAGTCAACTGTTCGCCACCGGCTATTGAACAGGTATAGTACACCTAATAAACTAGTAAATAATTTAAAATGTAAATATAAATTATAAATAATAGGTATTAACCTATGAAATTGCCGTTTTGTATGCAATTGAATTTTTTACCCACTAAAAAGTTGTCTAAATTTTGGACCTTGCACCTACCGACTACTTATTACTTTTTCCAAAATTTGGACAACTTTTTAGTGGGTAAAAAATTCAATTCCCGAGAGGTAGTACAAAATGCCTTTGAAGAGTTTGTTGCCTCCGGTCCAGCTGATTTTTACAAGAAGGGCATCAATAAACTGCCTATGCGTTGGCAAAGATGCGTCGATTGCATGGGTGATTACTTCGAATAACAGAAATAAAAAGTTTGAAAAATAAGTACTTTCACTTATTGCATACAAAACGGCAATTTCATAGGTAAGACCTAATATATACTGTATCACATTGAATAATTCATAAAACAAACCATTCATTATAAAGATGTGGGGTGTATAGCACTGTGGGTTTATGCTTTAATCGAATCTGCACGGATTTTGACTGCACGGATGACGTAGTGGTTAAAGCGATGGCCATGCCACTTCCTACTGCATTGAGTATTGTGGGTTTGAACCCCACATGGGACAACACTTTATGTGATCCATAAATTGTTGTTTTGAGTCTGACTGTTCTTTGTTTCCGTTTCATGTATGTTTGTAAGGTCCTCCGCGACACAGGATATATTCCTAATGCGGGAGATATCTTTTAAGAAAGGAAGAAAAAGAAAGAATCCCCAACTGTGGGAGAACCTTACTTGTAAACAATTATGCAATTATATGGTTGCTTTTGCTGCTGCTACTGTCCGTATAGTGATTAAGAATACGGAATGTCACCACCCCTATTCATCCCGCGGGTGTGGTAAGAGCCGACTAAGGGAGCAAACTACGCAGCACAACAGCACTGCAAAGAGAAGGAAAAGTTGAAACAAACCCTATACCAACCCGTCTGGCCAGCGTGGTATAGTAGGCCAAGCCCTCCTTTCTAAGGAGAGGCCTATGTCCAGCAGTGAACTAGTAAAGGCTAATTGATGATCGTTTCTTTAACCGAAAAGCGAAGTTATCGGAGGAAAAATTTCGAGGGATAATACTCAAAGGTCCGCATCGCATATTGCGGCGGTGGTCACTTACCATCAGGTGATCCGGCTGCTCGTGGTGATACAGTCAACTGTCTAGCTAACGTAGTGCGCAAAATCGTCCAGAATCGATTTTAGAACTTTTCCGTTATTCCTGTTCCTACTCTTACACTACGAATATTTACTCTGGTTTACAGTTTCCGAAGCCGCTGATGGGCCAGACAGCTCGTAAGCATGGCGGTCTCATTATCCACATTCTGGTTTGTGTGTTCACATTTATCGGCCTGGCTATCGTCTGCGATGAGTACTTTGTGTCCAGCCTCGACAGGATCTGTGAAGGTCAGTTACTATTAATAATAATAATCCCGCAACACAACATCAGATTTTAAAAGTCCTTGATCTAAAACCCAATACCTATCTTCAAAAAACTGCTATATTAAATACCTGCAGAATTGTAAGAAAGTTAGAGAATAGACGAACAAATACAGTTCAATAGACCAATAGACTTTATTAACTTCTCCCAAGAAACGGTGATATTCACTTGACTGAGTACGTAAACATACCTGAAATACTACTAGCGAAGTAATAATAATCAAATATTTATTTGGAATTAAAAACAAAACGAAAGTAATATAATATTTAATATAATAATATTTTCACACACGGCAGTCTGATCCCAAACTAGGCAGATCCTGTACTATAGTAACCAAAATTCAAATAAACATACTTTTATATTTCTAGATACCTAAATATTATAGATAAAGTTTACCCAGACACATAACAAATGAACGTGCTCATCACACAATTATTTGTCTTGGGTGGGAATCGGGGATCTGGCTTAGCAGTCAGGGTCACTAGCTACGGCACCAGGGACTTCCTTTCTAGGGTATACCTGGTTCCCCGGCTATTAGTACCCGAGACGGCGTGCGGTTTTAGTCGGTTCGAGTCCGACATGCCACCGACAGGTGGTATCCGAGGGAATTTCCGCACGAAAAAAAATAAAAAAAAGTGTCACTAGCTACTAGACTAACAGGCCAGTCAGAGAAGTGGTGATAATCTTTCTATAATCGCCCAAAACGTACCTAGTGTAGTAACTAATAGATTTCTTAACAATATCAACTACTGTAATAAAGAATCCAGGCTATACGCCTAAAAACTATCTATCTTTTCAATGTTAAAATGGGATGGATCTCTTAATAACTTTAAATAGTGAAGTTGTGCCACTTTGCTGGTATTGCTTCTTTTTCATCTCTAATCACCACCACATCGTATGCAAAATAAAGGTTTTATTATTATTAAAATAAGTAAAGTAAGGTTCACTTTATAAAGTATAAAATAAGTAATAATTATAAAGTAAGTACTAAAAAGTTGTAAATAACTTGTGACGGTATATTTCACTACTGTCAGGTTTTTAAAACAACTACAGTCTTCTTTTAATTTTTTTTATGTTTTTAAACTATTGTTTACCACTTAATTTCATAAGAACTATTACAAGAACTTTTAACTTCACTGAACTAAGTGCAACGCACACGATCTCTCCGAAGGGTCAGAGATCTCTCCCAGTTGATCAAACTCTATAAACTCTTAGCTTGTTCTCAAGTGATTATTAATTACATTGTAATTTTTATTAGGTTGATTTCTCAGAAATGTTGTTTAACTTTCAGAATTTAAGTTGGCACCAGATGTAGCTGGCGCGACATTCATGGCGGCCGGTAGCTCCGCTCCGGAACTGGCTACAGTCGTTATTGGAGTGTTTTGTGCACAGGATGACATTGGTATGTTTGAACAACTGGTTATTTTCTAAAAAAAAAACAAAACCACCTTTCTAAGGAGAGGCCTATGTATAGCAGAGGACTAAACTAAAAGGACGAAGAAAAATATTATCCTTCTCTTAAAATAGCTGTAATTTATTATGTCAATTGATTTCACCTAAAAAATCAAACTTTATTTATTTATCAAGATTTTATGTCTGTATGCATTCGTGTGTGAGTTCATGTATCGGTGTGTGAGTGTTTCTTTGTATGCAATAGTTTATTTATCTAAAGTGTGTCTAGGCTTAGGATACGTGAAGTATTTATCACGACTACAAAAAAATATATTTAACAGGAGTGTCTGGAGTGATTGGTTCAGCGGTATTCAATATAATGTTCGTGATCTCCGTGTGTGCCCTGTGCGCTGGTACCGTCTCACACCTGAACTGGTGGCCGCTTTGTCGCGACTGCTTCTTCTACGCAATCTCTATTCTCGTGATGTTGTGCACTATCGCCAACGCATACGTGTCCTGGTGAGTAACGTCCTGATTTAACGCTCTCTAAATCGTTTAGTGTCATGAGCATAGAAAAATAAAGTAGGCCTTACACATTAACTCAAAAATATATAAATCTAAGTACTCTTAGATAGTAATCTTTCCTTCAGATCAACTAGGATCACTTCTGCGGAGATACGCTACTCGCTAACTCTCCAACTTTGACGGAACGTGTAGGATCTGCTAGGGTGATAGTTGTTTGTTGATCATGATCGACAGACTGCGCGCCGTGTGCAATTTTGAAAGATCAGTTTTTTTCAATTTATTGCGCGACACAAAAGTCAGTTCTACATTATTCGTCTTATGATCACTAAATGGCGTTAATCTATATTTTTGCTGTGGATTTTGTGAATTGCAGTTGACTGACTTGATTCCTAGCCAATTTATAATGTTAGTATTTGTTTGACTCCTTAGGCCTGAAGCTCTCTTCATGTTGATAATGTACGGAGTGTACTGCGTGGCGCTGCGCTTTAATACAACCCTGGAGCGTTGGGCTATGACGCTGCCACTGCCATTTAAGCTCCCAACACGCGAGGAACAGGCCGCCCTAGTTACTTACAGGTATGTTGCACATTTCTCTACTAAGTCTACTTTGGGTAGAGTAACGTGGCTCACATAATAATACAATTGTATTCTTAATACGTCCAGCTATATTACATGATTGTGTTAAGAGTAATTTCAAAAACAAAGCCCTGCCGAAAACGTTCTTCTTTTAGTTGTTGTCACCAAAACAATTTTAGGTGGTTCTTTTGTGGCTGTTCACATGCCTGACGCTAACACTCCTTGAGAATGTGGGTAATGGTTTTCAAAAGGACCAAAATACTAAAGATGAGGCTTTGTTAAAAGTACCCCTAACCGGCCAACTCCCGTGAAAAGTCTGCCGAACGTGTAAGACTTATGACATGAGCAGTATGTCAATTTTACGGCAGATGATGTTCTATCGTCTCTGCCTTCCCCAGATGAGAATAAAGCGTTACGTCAATGGAGGTAAACCTACTGTTAGAGTATTGTTGCAGGAGTGCGGGAGGTCAGCCTCCTGCGCCTGCGGCTGGTGGAGACAGTACGTATTCACAAATGGAAGGACAGACCAAGGAGACGCCATTACAGGATTCGCGTATGTATTGTTTCAGTCCCATAGATTATTCACCTGGGTAATGTTAGAATTATAACTAAAAGCTATAATGACTAGAACTTGAAAACAATAAAACTAATAGATTCCTTAGAGATTATAATTCGATTCTTTAAATTGCTCGTCCATAACCACTACACAAAAAAATGGGCAGATGTTGGTTTAGTGTGGGGTTTATTGAATTGTAAATCTTTCATTGCGCGATATGCATGGGTTTTTACTTGTAAGTTGTTCGGATTGTGTTGGGTATTCAGTTTCACTTCCTTTTATTCTATTTTTATCTCATCTTTTTTTTTCGCAGCATACAATCCAGAAGGTATTTACGATAATGCTGCATACAATGCTGATCCGATCCCAGCGTGGGACCCTAACAGTACTTGGGACCCGAACAGCTCCTGGGACGATGGTGTAAGTCTCTGTTTCTTTTTTGACTTTATTTGTTACTCTGCGGTTTCTATCTTACCTTCTTTAGGTGAGAATTACGCTATTTAGACTGATCGTATTGCACAATAAAGGATACCGCAGAGAAAATGAATAAGGAATCCTGTCGAGGTCATGGCTAAAACAGTAGTTTTTAATTTTACACATCGCTAGTCATCAAGCAGCCTCCAGCCGTGATCACGGCCACTGCAACGTAATCGAAACGTCAAACAATTTAAAGGTCTTTCATCATCATCATCATCATCATCATCATCATGAGCTTTTAATAGTCCACTACTAGACATAGGACTCTCCTTAGAAGGGAGATTTTTTGCCTACTATACTACGCTGACGACACCCACGGGATGAACAGAGGTTGTGACACATTCTTAATCCTTCACCACACGGACAATTACTGTCTAAGGTCTTTAGTGACTAGTGATTCATCATTATCATCAACAGCCTTTACTAGTTCACTGCTGGACATAGGCCTCTCCTCAGAAAGGAGGTTTTGGCCTACTATTATTAAACTAGTGATTACCAATAAAAAATATTTATCATGGAATATGAAACTTAGCAGAGTAGGTACAAGAGTATACCATTTAGTACTTCGAATTGGAATTAGTATTTATATTACACACACTATTTATTTTACTAATAACAAAAAATAAATATCTGCAGTCCGGAGCGCCAAGCTACAACGCTCCACAGCAACAGCAATCTTACCAACCACAACAGCAACAACAGACACAACGGCAACAAACTCAGCAACAACCAGAACAGCCACAGCAGCCGCCAGCAGCTCCAGCCTACTACAAAGCCAAAGAGTACAACCCGGAGACAGCTGTCGATCCACTGGTGAAGCCTATTGGAGCAAGTAAGTTGCCAGTAGTGGACGTCTTTGGCTAATGAAATGGCTTTTCCACGATTGACTTGCTTTTTCACAAATGAGACTGCTTGACCTCACAGAAAACCGAAGTTAAGTAATTGTTTTATTTTTTTTTCACCGAATGAGTCTGTTTATCGGAGCCTCCCTCTCTAATTGTGGAGAAAGGAGGAGGGACTCAACGCACTTTTGATTCTTAGTTGCAGGTGTCCACTTAACATCAGGTGACCCGTCTGCTCGTTTGCCCCGTATATCATAAAAACATATTTTAAGTTTTATGATGCGCAGACATCACATGGTGGACACATAGGTCTGAACCTAAATCAATTTTCTTCTAATCTCTAAAATTGTCTTCCTCAGACCACTTGCAGCTGGCATTTTGGTACGTGGTGTACCCCATCCACTGGTCTTGTCGCCACACCATGCCGGACTGCCGCGGCCGCTGGTACCCAATTACATTCATCATCAGCATGCTGTGGATCTCCTTCTACTCTTACTTCATGGTCTGGATGATTACGATAATTGGTGAGTAACTGAGGAATGGGAACTGAGTAACTACCATCCGTTTGTTACCGTTCTAAATACGGCGGTATTTGAAGTATCCGGTGTATCCAAAAATATGCACATTATATTTTACAGGTACAGACTCTTCCTGCTCAATTATGTTGTTATTATTGGTTGTAGAACCAGCGAACTCCTGAACTACGAGCTATGACTTACGAAAAACTATATAAAAAGTTTAAATGTGCAAAGTTCTTAATTTCAGACAGTACTCAGAAACATAACAAAATGACTGACTCACTCACTGACTACACGGATGGCGTACTAGTTTAAGAGGTGACCTCGCCTCTTCCTACTGCACTGAGTGTTGTGGGTTCGATCCCACACGGGTCGACACTTTGTGTGATCCACAAATTGTTGTTCTGAATCTGGGCGTTTTTTTGTGTTCGTTTCATGTATGTTTGTAAAGTCCTCCGCGACACAGGATATATTCCTGCGAGAGTTTTCTGTTATTATAACAAAGACACAGGTCACATTTCGAATTTCTGTACACTTAGTAATTTATATATATTAAACTCTTAAATTACTTTTAGCATTTCTTCTTAAGAGTAGGTAATGTCAACCATATTTACTGTCACAATTTAAGGTGTAAAAGTATCTGAAAGGTGTCTCCTTTTCTTATATTTACATTCTCATTCTCAGGCTATACCCTGGGGATCCCCGATACAGTCATGGGATTGACCTTCGTCGCAGCTGGCGTATCCGTGCCTGACGCGCTCTCCTCACTCGCTGTCATTAAAGAAGGGTGAGTATATTCCTCATTTCAATTAACCTTTTTTTAATGACTACCATAGAGATTCTTGTAATTTTTATTTGTTGATTCAATTTCTCCTGTCAGATCGGGCTACATAGCATGTACGACATGGTGTCGAGTCCGATAAAGCCTTGGAATCAAGCCCTCAAAATAACCCAATATCCAAAATACTCACGATAATACGTTTCACTAAAGATTAGGAATATTCTGTAATTAAATAATTGTCAGCACTCTCTTCACATACAATTCTCTTGATAATCATTTCGGGTGTAACAGGATGGCTTTTTAATGATATGATTGAAAAGAAACCGGACAACAACGTAAAGTACCTATGCCTTATGTTATCGTTACATATTCGAACATTAGGTGTACAAATGTTTATTTTCCATAATTTCAAGCTTAAAAAGAATCTTGATCTCGATTGTGCTTCATTATTTGCAGTTACGGTGATATGGCGGTATCCAACGCCGTAGGATCTAATGTATTTGACATCCTAGTCTGTCTTGGACTGCCATGGTTCATCCAAACAGCTATCATACATCCTGGTAGCCATGTCAACGTTTATCATAAAGGTAAGACTAGCAGATTTTTTCACCCGGACGAACGGATTAGAATTGAGTTCTTGAATATGGAGGCCCATCTTATAGAAGGAGACTAGCGGTAGTAGAATTACTTGCTATAACCTTGGCAATACAATGCCAGCGTTACCTTACAAGATGTTTTTATTTATATTACAGTAGAAAATATATTGCTCTTTTACTTTTAGGTTTGATCTACTCGACGCTATCTCTATTTTCCACTGTTGTCTTCCTGGTCGTGGCAACTCATGCTAACGGCTGGAAACTAGATCGAAAATTCGGCGCAGTCCTAATGGTATGGTACATTCTCTTCATCACCCTGGCCAGTCTTTACGAACTTAATATATTCGGCGATTTCACAAACCCTGATTGTGTCTCAACTTATTAATTTTTGTTACTGGTAACATTAATTTCGTTATGTTTGTATCCCTGGCTATTAGGCTGTCAATGTCAAGTAAACTTTGTTTTGTTTATGGTCTGATAATGTGTTCGAATAATATGGATATGGAATGAAACGAAATTATTCTGCTCGTTCGTAAAAACATTTTTTTTTAAGTACAATAAAGCCAAATATTTTCTTATTAGTTATTAAAATATTTCACAGTGTATTAATGATTTATTTTATTTTGCAATATGAAATAAGATGTTGGAAACATAGTTTATTTTTAGTTGTAATTTTGTATTTAAGTTAAGTATGTGTTTGATTATTTTGACAATAGTCGGCCTATTCTCTTGTTATCATAGTATCTAAAAAACATTTATAGCTAACTTTTAAAAAACGCTCTTGTCTTATGATAAAAAAATGCATCGATGTTAGTTTTCTCTATATATTTTATAAAATAGGTATTTAATGGTAAAATGGTTCGATAATTATCACAATAGAAAAGCTAGTGTAAAACTTAGGTAATTTTAAGTGATTAAGTAGTTTTACATTCAGCAGTGTTATTTTAGTTAAAGCGTGCTTGTTATTATCGTGATTTTAAATATTAATTATACTTATGCATGTAATAATTTAATTTTCTTGCCTATTAAATAATAATGTCAAATACGTTACAGGAAGGTGTGGGCATATACTTTAAAACTAAAATTCACTAATAAAGCTAACATTTCCAAATAAAGAGGGCTAATTCGAATCTTCCTATAGGTATATAATGCTTTTAGTTGTTTTTTTGGTAACCGTGAAGATAACGTTTAAAGAAACATAAAGTTCTTTAATTTTTTCAAATTCAATCCATTTCAAGTCAACATGAACTTTTTTTTTAAATAAAGTACATACACAAACAAAAAACATACACACAACATTTTGTATGTACCTAATGATGTTTTAATTAAATCACTTGTACGTAATGCATCACGGAATGTAGACATAGTGGATAGTGGTCAGATCAATTGGTAACAATTTTCAGAACACGCGTTGTTAAGCACAGGAGTTGCTTGCGCACAATATGGCATTTGAATTTAAACTAAAAATCGTTGAATTATTACATATTTATTTTACGGCTTGTGACTGCGAAAGTAGAATATCTCTATCATTTTCATAAAGATTAGGTATTTTTGTCAATCAAGAAATAAATTGTGATAGTTTCATGATGGAATTAAATAGTCCTACCAGGTATTCTAAGCATTTCCGGTAAGCCAACCGCGAGAACAGTTGCGAATCAACATTGACAGGTATCTTGACGAGTGGCAATTGGTGAAATGCAACGAAATAATTGCTTTAAACCTGTTTTCTGTGAGGCCGAGATAACACTGTGGTCGAGCTGGCCCATATGCGTGGAAGCATGGCTCTCCTATGGGTCCATACCTACCTTGACCGCGCATCACACTGAAATTACTAAATACATTCAAAAGAAACTTAACATGATTTGATTTTATACCATTAGATAAAAACCTTTTATGCTTCAGAAATTTTGAATCATGAAAATTATCGAAAACCAGTTTAATATTTGCCTTAAAGCCAAAAGAAAATCAACTCGCTTTAATATGTGATTAATCTTATGAATCTTTACATAGTTCTAGAGAGGTTACATTTCAAAATGTTATCTAGTCACAAGAAAATAAAATGAGTACATACTGTTCAAAATAGTGGCATTAGTGATATTATTTAAATTTTTAAATAATTCAACATATTCTTACTTTAAATGACAGTATAATTTTATAAATCATATTTTACCCAGTACCATCGATGTGTGACGAATTAATACAATAGTTATTTGGGAAAGTTATAAAATTTATTACATTTTGTACTTTTTACTATAAGTATAAATATTTGAAACAGCTGTAGTCATCGAACCTAGTCATCTTATGTAGTTGATACTTAATTAAGTAGTATTTTATTTGTTAGTTGCCGATATACTAGCGTTTATTTCCTAACTACTAAGTGAAATGCTGTAAATATTTAATCCATGTAATCATCATCATCATCAACAGCCTTTAATAGTCCACTGCTGGACATAGGCCTCTCCTTAGAAAGGAGGTTTGGGCCTACTATACCACGCTGGCCAGACGGGTTGGTATAGGGTTTGTGTCAAGTTTTTCCTTCTCTTTGCAGTGCTGTTGTCCTGCGTAGTTTGGTCCCTTAGTCGGTTCTTACGACACCCACGGGATGCATTGGGGTGGTAACACTCCGTATTCTTAATCCGTCACCACACGGATAATCCATGTAATAGTATATAGATTTCTAATTATACTCCGTTACCAAGATTACTCACGTGTATGCTATTAGCCAAAGAAGAAATATTTAGTAAGTATTTATTGTTGAAAACTACCTACTTCCGACAATCTGTTTTCCAAGTTGACTCAAATACCTCTACACTATTTCATAATTCTTCCAATTTATTTCTCATTACTGATCACTAATACGTTAACCCATTCCAATTCTGTGATCTACTTAACTATAATCGTAAAAAATTAGTGAGTATGTATCTATTTCGATAAAAAATATTAATAATTAAAGAACTGACATAACATTTACTTACTTTGTTTACTTTTACTTTTTTTGTTACAATTACCTTTTTCTATCAAATAGATACATACAAATAAGTAAATAGAGTGTTGCTAGATACTCCGCTGATTATAATATGTACTCTAGTGTTCATATATTAGAAAAATGGCCGCTTTGTATATTTGTCAAAAAATAAGGTATTTTAATTGTGTAGCATAAAATTTTACCATTCATGTATCCATTTAAAACTTATCTCGAAGCCTATCGTACGTATCAAAATAACTATTTATGTTTATTTTGTGCTAGTTTTCTTTATGATAGAAATACAATCGCCAGGCTGATAAATAAACCTATGACTAGAAGGAATATGTTCAATTAATACTGAATAGCTGATGGATACTTAGTTCAATAATAATTTGAAAAGATTGTCAATTAAATAAGACCACGCATACACACGTAGTCAAAGAAATACACAGTTCCTTTGTATTTTTTCTTTTAAATGTGATGTGATGTGTAATTTAAATAAAAATACATAATTATGATTCACGTTGATTATGATAACATCGGTGAAAGGCGTTTAAAAAAAATCTCAACTGAGAAAAATGTGAAAAATTCTCATATATGTAGGTACTTGTCATTGGAAATATACTCATGTATTTGGGTTTTCGCTTACACATTGTTATAAAACTATATTTAATACTCACATGAACGTAGGTATTAGCTAAGAAGCTAAGTTTGACCAGATTTGTTGATATTATATAAACAAAGTTCCCTTATTCGTTATAAGTGTAATACATATGATGTAGTGATTGTCAATTATAATATCTTTGTGTAATGTGTGTTGAAGTATTCGGCGTCTTTCGACAATAATCGCTTTTTGTGGTTTTTCTTTTAAATGTAACAAATTCATAAAAATTCTAAAAGTAATACAATTTTATGTATTTCGAGGATTTCAATTCTCGTTATAAAAGTTCGGTCAAAATTCAGTTCCGATCAAAACTTGATCTCGCAACTGTTATAAAAGTTATTTTCTTAGTAAAGTATTACTAAGACTAACATATTGCCGATTCAATTTTCAGTCACAATACGATATAATCACATTGCAATCAATATTGGATCTTTTTATGACAGTTGTAAGGTCGAGAGTTGATCGGAATCGGATCTGAATTGTGACCGAACTTTTATTACGAGAATTGGCCGGTCACTTCAGGTGGATATAGTTCCCCAATTGCTTTTAAAGGCTCGTAGGGTTTTCACGAATAATACATATGATGAAAACTCTTATATTTGTTCTAAATTAGAACACAACCTGCGAAAGTCTTAATTTTAATACAATAACTTTTGGTGTAACATTATACATTCATTACTTGCTACTTAATTTTGTTTTTTTTTTTATACTAGTAGTAACGTGTTACAAATTAATTTTATTTTAGCATAGCACATGCGTTTTAAGAGAACTAAACGTATTGTTAAATCACGCCATGGTATAAAATTTTGCCGCTAAATAATTTCGTTATCGCTGTATTGATAGATAGTTCTTATTATATATTTAAATAATGTTATTGTTTGAAAATAATCAACATTTAGATTTGGCTATATCCTGGTGGTAAAAATAACTTTATAAATTAAATTGCAAACAAATCTCGACCCCAGTTTACACAAACGATAAATGAAAAGTTCTAAATTTTAAAACTCAATTAAAAATTGTCAATTGGATATTCAACTTTTATATGTATAGATGTTAGGTATATATATATATATATATATATATATACACGAGTATAAGCCTATAAACGTGAATGGTGGCGGCGAGTTACGTTTGAACGTTTTCACCACAACAGACTAATTTCTTAAAGGATTATAACAACAATATAAGACAATGCATTACGAGTATTACTGCCCGGTAGTGTCACGAAATAAAACAATTGAAGAACAAAACGTGTACCTAAATACAAACATAAGTACTTTGTGTTACAAAACCAAATTGCTAAGTTTCAACGTTGTAACGCATGTACGTTAAAGTCGTTATTAATTTCATTTGTTATATTAAAAATATATGTAAATAGTAGTGGACCATGGTAAATTATTATGTACTATAAACTCTAGAGTAGGTCTTCAATATTCATACTATTTTTATTCTGTGCTTAAGACCGCAGCTGCGCTGGTGTAAAAATATTTATAATATTAGCTCAGGACGCTACATGCAAAATTACACGATAATCAGATAAACAGTACGACAGCAATTTTAAGCGTGCCGTATGTTGAGACTACAATTTAAAAAAAAACAAGTAAATACCTACTGCAATGTAAAAATCTGCTTTTTATGTTCAATGGATTAAAAAGAATTGTTATCGAAATGCTACGCCTTTGTCAATGTAAGAGCTTTATTCATATCATAAATGTATCTCGTATATATGTTTTTTTGCAAAGAAATATCCTTCGCT